GCAGGGCCGGATTTAGGCACAGGCAACCGAGGCAACCGCCTAGGGCGCCATGATTAGGGGCGCCAAATTGCAATCAAATTTATTTCGAGTTGATTAAAAAAATGTTTTATGCCACAAGGATAATAGGGGGAAAATAAAAGATCCGACAACATTGTTCGGTAATAGTTAACTTAAATGTGTGACCACTGTCGGCTCACGCCTGTCACCGCTCATCACGGCACCTTCGATCACCCTCGTCTTTGTCTCAAAAAAGAGATTAAATGGACTTTTGCTGCAGGAATTGAAAATGTTAAAATCTTCGACCATTGAACACACTCGATGGTTATATTATAATATTTGATGATGTAGATTATAGGTCTATTCTCACAGAAATCACCAACCAGTCAGATCGTTTTCGATTGGTGCAAATCGCCAGTTTTATGACTATTTTCAACCAATGAAATTCCCTCTGTCACATAAATCACAAACCAGATTTATGTGACTTTGCAAGACGTAAAGCCAGACGCGGGGTCATTTTTAGTGTTGATAATTCAATTAGTTTGAGAAATTATTTTTGTATTAAGTTAATTTGAAAAATACAATTGTATATACAGTATAGTATAGATCTGGTCTATCAGACCGAATTTTATTGGTTGTCAACTATCAGAAAACTGGTTGCTGGCGATTTGCACCAATCAAAAACACGCCGACTGGTTTGTGATTTCTGTGAGAACCATTTTGACAATACAATTTGAGAAGGGGGCGCCAGAATTGAACTTTGCCTCGGCATATAATAGCTATTGAACCGGCCCTGACTCGGAGTGTGCAAGCCAACCCAGCTATGATGGCCACCTTTTTTGACGTCACGATTCTGTAAACAAACCTGTTAATAGGGAACTTGCAAGTGAAAAAAAATTAAAAAAGCAGTTTTTTACAATATTCTTCATCCATTGCGACAATTGTCACAAAAAACAAACTTTAACACAGAATAACACAAAAATAGCACTGCGTCAGCAGGAGTTCGTTTGATGCGTATTTGTTGTTTACAAAATCTTAACGTCACAAGCGATGTCATATTGAGATTTCGTGTTTTCGCGCCAAAGTTTTTGATTTGAATTTCAACAAAATTTTTTTCGTTCAATGTATAAGTTAAAATGGAAAAAAAGAAAACTATGTAATAACTGATCAGGTCTATAAGCCTAGCAGAACCAAGGTGGAAAAAAACTTCGGGAACTATACAGGGTGTCCAAAATACCATGGTATATCAGAAACGGTAAGAGATACCGAGGACGGTTAAATTAGAAAAAAGTTGCCATTTTCAAAGGGTATTTAAAATATATTTTCGTTGTTGCCAAATTTCTATTAGTTTCCTAGATACAGGATAATTTGTAAAAAAAACAGCTCTAGGTGTCTTTTACAAATCACCCTGTATCTCGGAAACTAATGAAAATTTGGCAACAACGAAAATATATTTTAAATACCCTTCGAAAATGGCAACTTTTTTCTAATTTAACCGCCCTCGTATCTCTTACTGTTTCTGATATACCAATGGTGGCCCATGGTATTTTGGACACCCTGTATAATAATTAGGTGCTTTTTAGTTGCTAATTAGGGCATCTAATTAAAAATTAGGTGCTCCTTTAGTTTTTGAGAAAATCAAAAAAAAAAACTAAGGGACTGCTAGGTTTATAAAAGCTAGCAGTCCCCTATAGTAAAAAATATTTTTTCTTTGTATGAGAATTAGGTGCTTTTTAGGTGCTCCTAAATAGTCCAAGAAAAAATAGAATTGATTAATTATTAACCGAATTACAGATTTTTTTTAATTATTAGGATCTGCTGGCTTTAGGTTTACATGTTGGTGTGTCAGAATGGAAAAAGAAACTTCGGGATCTATATAGGGTGTCCCAAAAAGATACCGACAAACTTTAAGGGGTAGTAGGGGACATCAAAACAAGCATTTTTGTTTATATAAACATATTTCCGCAAATGAGCCATTTGGGCTGTAGAGCAAAAAAACTGTTTGGTATCTAGTTTTATTCTTCGCAATAATTGAATCACTGTTTACTTATAATTTTGCTTTAATAGCAAATAAATTATGGTTTACAATAATTGTTCAACTCACAAACTCTTTGGAATATTCCGGGAATAGCTTCTACATGGGTACAACTCCCAGTATTCTTGCTATCAGATCTTCCTTATTACGAACAGGTGTTTCGTAGACTAAACTTTTCAGTCAATGACCCGGCGGTGTAATCTTTGCATTGAAGTAAGTGGTCAACATTTTGAACAATTATTGTAAACCATAATTTATTTGATAATAAAGCAAAATTAATAAGTAAACAGTGATTTAATTATTGCGAAGAATAAAAGTATCAAATAGTTTTTTTGCTCTACAGCCCAAATGGCGCATTTGCGGACATATGTTTATATAAACAAAAATGCTTGTTTTGATGTCCCCTACTACCCCTTAAAGTTTGTCGGTATCTTTTTGGGACACCCTGTATAATAATTAGGTGCTTTTTAGGTGATAATTAGAGCCTCTAATTAAAAATTAGGTGCTCCTCTAGTTTTTGAGAAAATCAAAAAAAAACTAAGGGATTGCTAGGTTAATGAAAGCTAGTAGTCCTCTATAGTGAAAAATATGTTTCCAAAATTTTCTTTTGTATCAGAATTAGGTGCTCCTAAATAGAACAAAAAATAGAATTGATTGATTATTAACTGAGTTACAGATTTTTTTTTTAATTATTAGGGGATTGCTAGCATTCATAAACCTAGCAGTGCCTTACTTTTTCTCGAGGTTTTTCTTCATTTTCTCAAAAACTAAAGGAGCACCTAATTTTCAATTAGAGGCCCTAATTAGGACCTAAAAATCACCTAATTAATATATAGATCCCGAAGTTTTTTTGCCATTCTGACGCACCAACAAGTAGACGTAAAGCCATCAGTCCCCTAATAATTTAAAAAAAAATCTGTAACTCAGTTAATAATTAATCAATTCTATTTTTTCTTCGACTATTTAGGAGCACCTAAAAAGCACCTAATTCTGATACAAAAGAAAATTTTAGAAAAATATTTTTCACTATAGGGGACTACTAGCTTTCATAAACCTAGCAATCCCTTATTTTTTTTTAAATTTTCTCAAAAACTAGAGGAGCACCTAATTTTTAATAAGAGGCCCTAATTAGCACCTAAAAAGCACCTAATTATTATATAGATCCCGAAGTTTTTTTGTAAAAAATATTTTTCACTATAGGGGACTACTAGCTTTCATAAACTTAGCAATCCCTTAGTTTTTTTTTGATTTTCTACAAAACTAGAGGAGCACCTAATTTTTAATTGGAGGCCCTAATTAGCACCTCAAAAGCACCTAATTATTATATAGATCCCGAAGTTTTTTTCCTATTCTGACACACAAACAAGCAAACGTGAAGCCAGCAGTCCCCTAATAATTAAAAAAAAAATCTGTAACTCAGTTAATAATTAATTAATTCAATTTTTTCTTGGACTATTTAGGAGCACCTAAAAAGCACCTAATTCTGATTTTTCTACCTTGGGACTGCTAGGTTTATAGACCCTGACTGATCACTAGTATCTAAAAAAAAATTTCGAGAAATATGAAAATTCCCTATTCAACCCATGGTGTTCTTCAAGGGTCAGTTCTTGGGCCGGTTCTCTTTTTAATTTACATTAACGACCTGGCAGCACTGTCAATTCTGGGAGCTTTTGTAATTTTTGCAGACGATACAACCATACTTTTGCGACACAAAGATGTGACAATTCTTAACACAATTATTGAAAAAGACTTGGAAAAAATCAAGGGGTTCGCTTGGTTTTCAACATACCCAAAACAAATATACTTTCATTTAAACGCACTCTAATGAAATCACTCTTGACCAAAAGCTGGTAGAAGATAGAACTGTTGTAACATTTCTTGGTATGCACATAGATTCGAGACTTAAATCTGAGAAAAAACTCTCACAGGGCTATTATATGGTGAAAAGCATCCTTCATGAACTGGGAAAGCACACAGCTAAAACAGCGTATCATGCACTTATAGAGTCTCCCATCAGATATGGCATAGAATTCTGAGGTTTTTCGACACAGGCAACTCAGTGTTTATCTGTCAGAAATGAGCCCTGCGTTATTTGTGTAGGGTAAATCGTCGGGAAAGCTGTAGGCCTTTTTTCAAGCAGGAGCAGATAATGACTATCCAAAGCTAAGCCTAACGAAACACTCAATTATATATGAAGGTAAGAAAATCTTCAATAGGCTTCCTCTTCCTTATAACAAAAACATTTTACAGCCTTCAAGAGTATTACGGCCAAATTCAATGTGGCTGTTTACTGCGTGTGTTTAAGTGTGGGTACTTTTCAAAAACTTAATTGTTTTTGGTTGTTTTATTTGTTGATTTTATTCTATTTTAGGTATTTATTTTTTTAAACATTTTTTAGTATTTTATCACCCGTTCAGTCTGCTGCTTTCAGCTTTGACTTTCTTAACCTTTCCAACTTTTTAAACTTTTTATCAATTTTATTGCAATAGTAACAGTAACTAAGCCCTAATATATCTTTTTGTGATTTATTTTTTTTATATTAAAATTGTCATTACCTAGGGGGTTGCCGATTTTGCCTATGTAGTTCTTTACGGTTTAGTAGATATACTTTTTTATGTAAGTACTTTATAACTGTTTGTTTCTTCTTTTGTGTTTGAAGTATTCTCGTCCCTTTACATATTAAATCGTGACATATGAAAATGTTTTGTGTTTGATTTAGGTCTTTTAAAATTAAGTAGGTAGCAGATATATGTTTATATTTAGTTATTATATTATAAGATTGATTTGTCAACGAATTTTTATAATTTACCGACAATAAAGCTTTTTTGAATTAAATTGAATTTGAAAACGTTTCGTTACCAATCGTGTATAAAGATCATAAGTGTTTGGATATACTCAGCAAGTTGCCACCATAACAAACATTCCAGAGGTATTAAAAATTAAACTGCACTCCAAATCAACAACTTACCCTGATAATCTTGCAGCTCTGGCCATAAAATACGGCGGCAACTCGCCCAAAGCCGTTCCAGCACCCCAGCACATAGCTTCCAGTCTCACTTTCGACATTATACTAAGGATTGTAACTGGAATGAAACCTCCTTCACCTTCTGCCGGACAAACAATACTACAAAAAAAAACTATTAGAAAAGCAAACTTATCGAAACAAATTGAACATACTCTTCAGGATAAGGTGGTTCGGGGAAATTTAAACTGCCGCACTCGTAACCGGCCAAAGTTACAGCGGCTATATGAGGTCCCAAGTATAACAGGAACGTGTGGAGTCCAGTGCCTAATCCCACTGACGATAAAATACCTAAGCCTATCCAATATAGACACCACAAAGCTTGTTTATATACACGTTGGACCATGGCTTGGTGCGGCCCTTTCATATTAACTAATAGGTAAAACGATAATACTGAGATCCCCAATAGAATGACTAGAGCCTTATTTGCTAAAAAACTATTTGAGAAAAATTAAAAAATGGTTTCTAATAAGACAAATTGATTCTTACCTTTTACCATAATACGTCACCAATTCCAAACACTCTCTAAAAAAATATTCCAGCGTCAGGATTGGTTTTTTCCATAACACTATGCCCTCCCGTTCGCTCCTTTCTTTTTCTTTTTGTCTTTTTTGAGTCTCGTTTGTGCCCTGTTTTGTTGGCTTACTATTTAGACTACTTTGTACTATGTTACCATTGGTATTTGGAGTGGTGGGTTCCTTTCTTTTGGTGGCCATCTTGTAGCCCAGTCTTTGTAACTAAAAAGAAAATCCTATTTAGGAAAGTATTTAATATAATCGCTATATTGTTATCAAACCACTCTAAGAGCCTGTTGTTTTTTAGTTCGTTTATTTGCATTTTTATAATAGACTATATAGAAATCTTGTTTTTGACATTTTTGTCAATATTATATTGCTTTTTCAAAAGGATTATCCTCAATAGAAATAGCGAAAGCTGTTGATGAAGCGACACACTAAAACACATGACTATGGTATATCTACAGGAAATGACCAATAAAGTGGTCGGAATCTGGAGCATGAGAACAAACAGATATTTAATCTAAATTACATGAAACATTATTAAAAGTGTTCAGGCTTGTATAAAATTTAAACAGAAATTATTACCGTATTCTATGGGTGAATCAACTGAAAAATTGAAATTCTTTACAGATTATACAACTTTTACTTTTGTTGTACTCAAGAATTATATGCAAACTTATATAACATAACTGTAAATAGTAGAATATCGTGAATAAATTTTAATTAAATGCCAACTAATTTGAATAGATACCTAATTTTTTGGGAGTTTGCCAGTATAAATTTACCATAGACAGATAGATAAGCACTTTAGCGTAAAATTTTACTATGAAATTATTATGGTGGGTCAAAGTACAATATCACGATTATGATAGGCATTTAAATTTATTTGGGATTTTATCTGAATAATTTTTTTATTACTCACTTGATATTGATGAACACAATAATTGGAAAAATCAGCTGCTACTGAGGGCTCAATTCATTAATTGCAATACACCCTCTGTGTATATTAGGCAACAGATTTTTTATTGTTAAAAATTCTAGTATTTTGAACAGATGGGATAAGATTAATCTCAATATGAGTGATTTGGTTAAAATTGTTGAAACTTGTAAAATCTTGATAATAGATAATAATTATTATTGACGATAAAAGGCTTTCTTTTATAATGAAAAAGAAATTAAATGAAGTTAACCGCAAACACGATAGCGTGACTACCGTATTAAATGAAAAATATATTATTTACTACGGAAATTATTAGCTTAGTATGTCATTAATGAAACACGCACTAAGTTCATGTTTACAGTTCCTCACTTTCGATTTATTAAAGAATTTCACTACACTATTACGCACATGTGGGTAATTAAAATATTTACTCAGTGTACTAGATAAAATATTAATTTAATAATTTTACATGATGAAAAGATGTTTGAAAATTTTTCAAAAATTGAATTTCATTGTTATTGGCACCTACTTACTAACCATAGGAAATATAAATTTGAAAAAGCTACAATTTTAATAGAGGCACAATGAATGTATGTGTTACAATTATTTTTAAAAAACCATCTATCATATAAATTTTTCAAGGCTTGATTAATTAACCTCCTGAAATTATAAGGGTCTATTTAACATTTCACTGATGCCTGTTACATATTCACTGACTGATAATTCCCACTGCAAAACTGTGTACTTAAATTTTCAATAAATATTATTTGATTTTGAAAAAAAATACTTCAAACCAATAAATTGGAAAAACCCAATGACATAAAACCATACCACAATTCCACTATAAAAACCCACAGGAAAGCTTTAAAAATTCAATAAACAAATTCCAACAGTAACTGGTTTATATCAACTATAACTTTGATTGTTTTAATATCCAATACATAAAAAAACAGCGAATTTGTGCCAAATCACTTACTAATTTCATTGAATCCATTTCCTCAGTCATTTTTTTAAAGACACACACGTCACTTAACACCAGTGCTAGTCCAAACTAAAACTGTCTTAAGAAATAATAATAATAAAGTAGAAAATTTATAAACAATGTTAAGTACTTATCGTACAACCGACAACAGTCGACTGTTCAAATTCAACTACAGTGGACAGAGTGAAGCACCTATAGACTATAGGAGCGAATTCTAATTATAAATTTTACAATCAGGTGATGTACGACCTTCGGTAATCTATACTAAAGGAGTAAAATTAATAATGAGGAATATTGAAATCGATTGTGATATGAGATTTACTATACAATAGCATTCTATGCCTGAAATTCTCATGATATTCAAGGAGAAGTTTTTATCAAGAATTAGAGCCTTATAGAGTAAGACGTTTTTTCTTAATGAATAATTATTTTCAAATCAAATTCATCTGGCTTATTTCTTTCTCCTAGATGTTATCAAGAAGTGAACCAAAAAACGGATAATTATTAATTCGATTTATCAGTTTGAATCAAAACCGATATTCCTCTATTATCTTTCATACACGAAGATTTTGTACAGATCATGTTCACTTTCTTCTGAGAGTAAAAGTATCAAGCCAGGGACGGAATAAAAAAGATTTTTTCTTGTTTTGGTAAAAGGAGAGAGCTTGTGGAGCCACTTTTCCCTTCATAGTTTTTATGTTTAATTAAATTAAGTATTTATACATAAGTACGTCCACTACGAGGACACATGACTAGAAAGGTATGAAAGTCACAAAAAAATATCTCTAGTGTTTTATAACAATTTCATTTCTGAAAAAGGAGAAAACTCACACTAACATCAATATATATAGGGCGAGGTAAAATTCGGTTGAGTTGGAAGATCATATGCTTCAACCTGATTTTTCTATTTACATATATTTTGTTTTTTTTTTTAATTAAACGCCCTGTATATGTTTAGTTAGGATGATTTTTTTTCCTGATCTCTACTGATTCGATTGAAGTGGCCCATTGTATATTCTAAAATAAATGTACAAAACTTACTAAAAAACTAAATAGTCTACATCATTGCTACAACAGAGTTTTATGGCATAGTCACTTGGCAAAAAGCAATTAAAAAAATTGTGGCAGCACAAAAAAACTTCACACAGCTAATAGGAAAACAAACAAAATATAATTATTTGTACAAGGTGATCAAATTTTATACTATATTTTCAGTATATTGAATGAAATAAGGAAGTCTCATCACCTTGCACAAATACTGAAAAAAAAAATCAAGCTCTAAATCCACATAAAAGTCCTCCTACCAGTTCCTGTTTATTGCCGGTGCTCTTTTGGCCCCTTCTTCTACACTCTGCTTTCAGTTGTTCCTTGGTCAAATTTAGCAATTCGTCTAGACTTTTCGACTTAAGGGTCGTAGTGTCTTTGGCGACGGGCAAACGAGCCGGCTGCGGTTCCAGTAAATAATTTTGACTTTTGCCGCGGTGCCGATTTTTGGCCGGCATTTCTTATCGATTCAATTTCACGATAAACTGATCCGATCTTCTGTTTTTGGTTAGTAGAAAAATAAATTTTGTCTATTGTTTTTAAGTTTTTTTTTTGGTTAGTATCTATGCATCTACAAAATTAATAAGAAAAACAAGTGTCAGGAAATTTAGAAGATAATAATTATGTATTGTTAGGTTTTAGTCATAATAATATAATAATCGAGAGAATTTCATACATCTGTCAAAACTGGTATTCCAACAATAAATTGACATGTTTTGATTGTTGATTTGAACCAATCAGATTATAATTACGCGATAATTTGCACTAGTGCAAATTATCAGATAATTGCATACTAACTGGTGCGAAAACTGGTGTTTTGACATTTTTTGACAAAAAATTTAAATTTTTGATTTATGAAATTCTCTCATTAAATACAACTCGCGCAATGGAAATATATTTATAATTTTCGACAAATTTGCACTCATGCGTTTTTAACTGAAAAAGGCTCTTTTTCAACTAAAAATGCATTCGGGCAAATTTCCCAAAAATTATCAATAATTTCCATTGCACTAGTTATATTACTATTGATAATAATGTTAACCGGGATTATATTAAAATTGACTAATCGGGTACCTATATTGTATATTTCTTGCCTAGTACAGTACAATGATGAGTGAACAAAATAATGTGTTACTTTTCGAGCTCCTAATATAATATTTTCCCACTTCATCTACCAAATTCCCTAACTCCAGATTTATAATATATGACTGAATAAGCCAAATACATAAATATTAAATAAAAGTAGAAGTCTATAAATTTAAATAGTTATTTAGGATATAAGTGCTAAAAGTGACATTTTATTTTGTGAAAAGGGAAGTTTGGGACACGACGCCGAAGGCGGAGTGTTCCATCCCTTTGAACAAAATAAAATCACTTTTAGCACGAATATCATACACTATTTTTTCTACAAACGCACTAAAAGTGAGTTTAGCACTAGTGCTAAAAGTAATCACTTTAAACACCAGTGTCATAAAATGGCATTTTAGACACTGACTGCATCTGTTAAAAATGACACTTTTAGTGACGTTTGTAGAAAAAATTTAATTTGACATATCTACCTATACCTACCTCAATAATCCATTAGTTAATTTTGATGAATCATTTTTACATTATTTGGCCATGTTTTGTTTGATAAATGAGATGCTGCATATTAGGGATGTACCAGATCGGGTATTTGGCCGATCCGGCCGGAACGGGAATTCCGGCTCCTAACCGGACGGACCGCCGGAATTCCGGCCGGATCGACAGTTTTCTGCAATTTAATAATAATTTGAAAGGGAGCATTCTTTTTTTACGGGCGAACCTACAGATGAGCAGTCTATCTCTTTCTAGTACATAGGAAATCAAGATGACTTACTCATAATGGAGAGTAGCTCGATGGAAAAAAAGAAAGCGGCTAAAGTTTGGTTATGTTTGAGTTTGGCTGCTCCTTCAAGTAGATTGGCGAATCCCCGAGTCTATCTGGATATCTATTTTCAAAACCGTTCTCATGAGAACGATTGCTCTGTCTTTGTTAGTGTTATGGAAATATGAATATGGGTGACGAAGACAGAACCTTCGTTCTCATGAGAACGTTTATAGGGACCACAGACATCTGAATGAAACGCTTGTGCACGTAAAACTTAAACGATTTTCAGTCCAGTGTAGTTGCAGTTGTTTTGTGTTCCTGTGTATTCAGCTAAGTTAAAAATGTCAAAAGTATGGAAGTTTTTTTAAATCCATACCTGAATTTAATGTTTATGTTTAAAAAAAATATTGTTATGGTTTACAACTTTAATTTTAATAAAGTTCTAAGTATTCTTCTTGCTTTCCGCTTATAAATTTATTATTTAACCTATTTTGAAATTTTCGAAAATTCCGGCCGGAACGGTAGTTCCGGGCTATAGACCGGATTGGCCGGATTTAGTGGTACCGCCGGAATTCCGGTACATCCCTACTGCATATTATGTATGAGTAAAGTTTCAGTTTTTATCTGCGTTTTAATGCCAAATTAATACTGAATAATATTGCAGTTTTCCTTGTATTTAATTGCTCAAATAAAATGTACCTATGTATACAGGGTGTGAACAAATTCGCAAGTATGTATGGGGATCTCCGTAACCATAAGAGATACAGGGTCGGTTTAATTAGAGCAAAATTACGGAATTTCTTGATCACCAAAATGCCTTTTGGAAACTTAGGAAATTGGGAAATTCCGAATACTTCCGGAGATATTCGGAAAAAAAACGAAATTTGGCAAAATCGTTTTTATTTTTTCCTGAGTTTATTTGAAGAGATACATACTTCAAAATAAATGAGACTTCATTATTGCCACTTTTTCTCTTCTACAATATGGCATTATCAAATTTGATTTCCGACGTTTCATCTTTGGGCCACCATCATCAATTTAATTTTTTTTAATAAATCTTTAAAGTATGTTAGACATGCTCCAAAGACAATACTTTTTTGATAATGTTAATAACATAAATGATTTGACCCTGGCGAGTACCCTGGAGCAGGCTGCTCAATAGTTTTATGAAACATTGTGGGGAGGGATGACTTTATGTTCCATTTGAGAAATTCAGAACTTCTAACTTTTATATGTGGTTCAACACTGAGCTGCATAGATTGATTGTTGCAAAGAAGAAAATTCACACCAGAGCGAATTGCAACCACTCAAAGTATAGGTTGGCAACTGTGAAAAGTGCGTTTTGGTCTGAGGTGAAGGGGGAGGAAAAAACGATATGGAAATACACAGTTGCAATGAAATAGAGTGAGATAGAAATATTAGTTTGCATATTTGCCGCCGGCAAATTCTCGCTGGTCGCACATTATAGGGCCCAGTTTACTAACGAGGACTGAACAAACAGAACGCTGCGATTTCGGAGGTTAGCTGGTGTGACCTCGCAAGCTCCCGCCTAATTTATCTTCATAAGGGATTTTCTCGGACACTATTTTGAATATAGGACTGCGTTTCACCGAGAGAGAGATCTTAGATTTTTTTTCTTCATTTAGGTAGCTCAGGTTGTTTTTTTAGGTCACACCCCCTTCAAAAATCATTATACAGGGTGTCCCAGGGAAAACAGTCCACCCCGATTTATTGGATTTGGGATGAGAATCTGGAAAAACGCTCGGACACGTCGATTTTTGATTCGAGGGGGAAGAATTTTTCAGTTTTTTTCATCCCCGTAGCTTCAACCCCCTAGCTAGGGGAGAGCAACCCTCCGAATTTGAATAGGGGATAGGGGTCGTGTCATACCTCTTTTTAAAGGTCTCGTCGAGTTCTTTATGGCCTTGGAATTTCGTCTTATTATTTTCATCCGTAACAAAATGACATCTTGTCAAAATCTTAGAAATAGACTATTGTTTTAGTAGGAGTAAAAGCGGTACTTACCTCCCCTAATAAAAATACAAGTAAAAATACCTACAATTTACAATTCTCATGTACACCTCATCAATAATAATAATAAAAAACATCAATTTCAATTATTTTTATTAAGGGAGGTAAGTATCGCTTTTACTCCTACTAAAATAATAGTCTATTTCCAAGATTTTGACAAGCTGTCATTTCGTCACGGATGAAAATAATAAAATGAAATTTTCGGGTCATAAAGAACTCCATAAGACCTTTAAAAAGAGATATAACACGACCCCTATCCCCTATTCAGATTCAGTAGCTATGCCACTGTTATATAGAATGTATGTTCAAGGAAAAGAAGAAGGCTTTCAATAATTAAAAAAAACAAACAAAAACACAAGGTTCTAGATCTTTCTATTGTGAACTAAAAAATATCGTTTCTGTGGCAGTACAGCGCGAAAAAAGTGTTTTCTATTGATCACAATTCAATGATTCAAGAAACAACACATATCTCTGTCTGGAACACAATAAACTTAACATTCATAAAAAAGGCGAACATAGTTTTCCTGTAGATTTAAATGACCTGATTCCTGATTTAATGAACATTTCCTTCATAGACTCAATTCCACAAGTTCAAGCTTGTAATGAACTTATAGACTACTATAACTCGAACAAAAAACCCTCGAAAAAACCTGAACCAAGCAGTGCACCATTTTCCTTGATCGATGCAGACACAGTTCAAACATTTGCTATCGATAAAAATTAATGCCACATTGCCTAAATCCACTTGTGAACATTATGAATTTCTCTGTAGAACAGGGCAAAGTTCCAGACCTATGGAAAATTGCTCTTGTTGTCCAGAAAAGACTAATAAGAATAATAAAAAAAATGGACTACCTTCAGAGCTGTAGATCAGTATTTAAATGTATGGGTGTTATGACAGTATCTGCAGTGCTCGATGCAGTATACATACATTTATGAATGCTTAATGTTATTCTTTCGCAATAAACACCTTTTTGAAAGTAAAACGGAACACAAACATAGCACGAGAACATTGGATTTTAAGTACAAGCTACATAGACAAAATTTGCAGCAGATATCAAGAAATTGTTAGTAAACTTAGAACCATATTGTTCAAGAGATTTTTCCCCAGATCTATAATAATTTTGTAACATTGTGATCTTTTGACTCTGTTTCATTTCATGTACTCTATTGTATTATTGTATAATGATCTTGAATAAAAAAATAAATTTAATACAACCTCTCCCCAAAAAACCAATTCTCGATTCAATAAATCACGAACTTCTCTTAGCTAAGCTCAAATATTTAAACTTTGATCATATTAGCCTCTCATGGTTTCGTGATTATCTATATAGGTGTTGGTGTTACCAGCTAATGTGAATCCATATCTCAGATATTACTAAGCTCTCAGAACCAAGACAGATACACCACAGTGGTCGATTCTTGGACCACTATTGTATTCCATTTATACTGACTTGACAAGTGTTGTGCGGAATAAGTAGTTCTTTGTAAGCCTATTGTGATGAAATTCAAGAATATCTGTCATTTTTCAGGGAAAACTTTGACTCAGCTTTGGGTTTGATGATTTATCAGGATCTCATTAAGGTTACTGAGCGAGCACAGAAGAATGCATTAGTTATAGATCCATCAAAAACCGAGTCAAAAACTAAGGCTATTTTGTTTGGAAGGAATATAGATGCACGAGATTTGAGTTGCTTGCAGGTGTTGGGGCATAATATTGAATGGTAGAGGAAAGTAAAGAGTCTAGGTGCCGGTACTTTTGTTCTCAGTTTTGGAATTTGACAGTCGTTAAAAAAAATCAGGGGTTTGAATGTGCTCTAACCACATTATACTTACAGACCTTGCCCCATGCAAAACCTTGTTATATTTAACGACGCGTGAAATTTGTTAATTGAGAGCAAAAGTATCGGCCCTTAGTATGTTGCTAGATCCTGCGTTATCTTTTACAGGGCATGTGTGCAATTTGTCAGAAAACATATTTTGGTTTAAAGAAGTTGTATGAATTTAAACAATTTTGTTTAGTAACACCTCCGTTTCCTGGGCTAAAATATCTTCGAAAGTATTCAGAATTATCCTCGGAATTTTCCCAATTTCGAAAAGGCATTTTGGTGGAAATTGCATAACTTTGCCCGAGACTTTGCCTCAATTTAACCGACCCTGTATCTCTTTATGGCTACCAAGATCCACATACTTACTCATTTGCAACACCCTGTAGAATAACTTGGCATTGTGCATAATCTAAATTGTATTTCTGTGGCATAACTGAAGTTTTAATGAGCCTTATAATTAGCTAGACATATTCATATAATAGAATATAATTTAAAAAAATGCAATCAAATTAAGTGGAATAAACTAATTTGTTGTTTATTTTACCAAATAAATATGTATAAACAAAATACAAATGACAATTATTAATGTTGCAAATTAATAGCCTACAAAATGAAATTATTGCAAAACAATACATTTGTTTATGGAAAACTGTTGACAGGTTTTGAGAAATTTTCAATTTTTGGGGGCAGCTGCAACATTTTGGCTAATACATTAGAACCCAGAAATTAAACCTTGAAAAGACAAAATACAAAGGCAAAAGCAATTTTATTAATTAAAATAATGTTGATAATTAAAAGATCCCTTTGTCAATACAAAACTATTGTCACCACAATAATTATTGTTCTTTTTGTGTGTGAAACAAACAATGCTGGTATTCAGCCCTGAAAGCATGAACCCAATTGATAAAAATAAGGCTTAAAAAAGCTTTTCTTGGGCAAAAACAAGCAACATAAATAGTGCAAAATCTTTGGATATTACAAAGGGTGAACTTGTAGCAAGGTAACCTAAGTTTTTAGGTGCGTTTAAGGCGACTAAATAAGGAGCAAAACACGGGAATTTCTTCGCAAACTAATAAATTAACTAAATAATTGAAATTTCACTTACCTTTTATTGAATTCTAAGGATTATTTCACAAAAATTCTCTCAACTCGACACTCATGACCACAAAAATCCATTCTGTTATTTTAATATTCGTATTTGTCAAAATTAGATGGCGCCACCGACGATATTGGTCGAGTATATTTATCTTTGTTTCAGGATGTAAGAAAAAGAAGACAAACAATATGCAATGTTGCAAGCTAATTTTTGAAACCTTCCTTGATAGGAATATAGAGAGACGATTTCGCCGCGTTTTGGTTGGTAGGTAAATTGGTTAACCGCTAGGTAGGCTCTTCGTCACAACAGTGACGTCGCATACCATTTTCAGCCGAAATCGGCCGGTTTACCAAATGTCACGTGAATGACGTGATACCCGGAATGGTGATGGTATGTTTGAGAAAATAAAAATAAACAAACTACTGAATCCTTTTTATTGTTGTAAATTAAAATTAGGAATAGCGAAAATTAATTGTGTTTATTTATTGTGTTTATTTATTGTGTTTAATTTTGAATATAAACAAAAAAGTGAGGTTGAATTACTCCAAATTAGAGAGAGTTAGCAAGCTACCAATTCAAATAACCGTGCTCCAAGCTCAGTACCCAATTTGACATACCAAAATGGATACCAAAGTTATCGTGACGTCATTGTTTTTCGTGCCGAAATTGGTTGGTACATTTTTGACCAACCAAAGTGGGTTACCAAAACGTGGCGAAATCGTCTAAGGCAACAAAAGTCAGACCTATATAATGTAGGAACAATTTAGATAAAATATTGTTCAAAAAATCCCATTTTTGATCGCTTTCAATATTAAAATTTACATACTTGAATCTGAACATCTTCATTCTGCGATTCTCCTGGAATTTGAATTTCTCAATTTTGTCTAATGAAGCAAAAATTAATTTACGTGAGTCAGTTACGCTCATGTCAATTAATACGCCAATGGGGACTCGCCCTTATTACCTTTTTAGCCAAATAAGGCTGTTTTACACTTCTATTGAGTTGACTGGTTTTCACATGGCCAACTAAAAACTTTTGTCAAAAAATTGACATTGTGTGTGAGTGTTATAGTGTCAGTATTGTCAGTTGCTGTCAGTTGTATTTTGTAAAATTTAAAACTAGTGTAGGTTGCGCAGTTTGCAGTTTTGCCATATTTTTCACCATTTTTAGTTTGAAAACATCCAAATTTAACAGCAAATCATCTAAAATAAATTATTTCAGTGGTTCTCGCGTGCATTCATCGCCGCAAAAACTGGTGCGAATCTTCTTATTTGAATCAAAGTAAGTTTCTTCACAACTTTGAGGATTATTTTTGCGGCTCGGCATTTTTCCTTCATCTGTAGCATTTTTTCAGTAGCCCATGTCCCTTTTGGTGATCTCATCTATCAAGGCTTATAGGGTATGTTTTTTTCAAATTATTTGTTGAGTTAAAAAAGTAAGTTTTTGGTTCAATCTATTCCACAATAGAATAGGCCACTTTTAACGTGCCGTGCAACGGCTTAGCAATAGGCGTAGTGCGGAATATTTAGTTTCCTACAATATGAGAAGGTTTTAGTACGATAAGTTACAGACACAATTAAGCGCGCGAAGCGTTTTTTAAATTTAATATTAACATACAAGGACTCGCACACATCGGAAGGGTTAGTTAGGGTAAGTTTGCATATTTTTGGTTAGTTTCATCCTTAGACCTCTTCATTACAGTTCGTTTAATACTGGTTCCGAGACTGGTTCTGGTTCTAAGTGTACTGGTTCATAACAAAGCGCGCGAAGCGCGCTTGTTTTTCTAAATTTAATATAAGATCTGTTTCTGCAAAAATCACAAACCGCAGTCAGAGTGAATTTCATTGGTTGAAACTAGTTTTCTGACTGTTTCTGAGTGTTTTCCACTAATGAAATCCGCTCTGACTGGTTTGTGATTTCTGCAGAAACAGACCTATTAACATACAAGGAGTAGCACGCATTATGTGGACGGGTTAGTTTGCATATTTTTGGTTAGTTTCGTTACAGTTTGTTCAAATACTGGTTATAAGTATATTGGGTACCTACTACTTGGCAATAGGCGCGCGCTTGATTTTTCAAATTCCTATCACAACCCAGACATGTTCAATAAGGCGATAAGTCTGGTGACTTTGCGGGCCATGGAAAAAAGGTTATACAGTTACATTAACTTGTTGGAGGAAGTTTATTTATTTATCGTTCAATACACAAAAGAGCAAACTCCATTACCTATTTATATCTATGACAAAAAATAAAATAAAACTGTGCTATACATATGATCACAACATTCACAACAATTAATACAAGGCAAATACAAATAAAAGTGAATAAACACAATACAATAGGTACACATATGGCACCCTTTCCTTAATTTCTAGTAACTGCAGTGGTATGTGATCTCGCATTGTTTTGTTCAAAAATTGGATCTTGCAGTTGCTGAAGGTAGGGCAACGCGACAGGTTGTAAATCCGGTCCCAGACGCTACGTGTATTCGGCGAATAGGCGAATATTCGTCATTCGCACGAAGGTTTGGCTTGAAAATTGGTCGGCGAAGTTTCCAAGCAGAGGGCGGTCGTTTTTCAGTGGCGTTTCATGCATGACGTTTGTTTAGTTCAAATAGACAGTGATGAAGAGCAGATTGTTGCCGCCGCTACTTGTGTCATTCTCAGCAGGGACTTTATTCTCGAAACAGGGGAGCAGCGTTCTCATGAGAACGAAGGTTCTGCTTCGTCGTCCGTATTCATATTTCCATAACACTGACAATGACAGAGCAATAATATAGTTCTCATGAGAACGCTGTTCCTCGGTTTCGAGAATAGAGTCCCTGGTATCTTTGGGTTCCAAATGACAGGTTCATTTTCAAATAATTGTAAAAATTTTAACGTTAATTCATCGATCCACTCCATTTCTTATTTTAATTAGAAATGACTAAAAATGCAAAAACCAACCTTGCGGCACTGCACACTGCTATAAACTGACAAAACACTATGCATATACCCCCGAAGCGTCTGGGAGCAGTTCGAAGCATATACGTAGTGGACTTCGTCTCTACTTCGCCTTCCTTTGCTTCGTGCCAGTTTACCGACAATTGGCGGGAAAATGACGAAGGACGAATATTCGCCAAAGTTACCTTCCTACACGCTACGCGAATAAGCTCAAATACTGAATATTCGCCGAATACCCGTAGCGTCTGGGACCGGCTTAATACGTTTCATTGTAGGATTGAGGGCTCATGTTTTAATCCAAAAAAGACTAGAGGTGACCTACTTCAGTGCTATGGCTCCAAGCCATAATGCCCCTAGTAAGCGCAGTTTCATGCTCCATGCTCCATGCAAAATTGAAGTTGGTGCCTATCTCCACCACGTCTGCGACGGACTCTTCTTCGTTGCCCTACCTTCAACAACTGCAAGATCTAATTTTTCAACAAGACAATGCGAAACCACATACCGCTGCAGTTACTAGAGACTTCCTCCAACAAGCTAATGTAGCCCCTCTCCCATGGCCCGCAAGTTCAGCAGACTTATCGCCTAGTTAATATGTCTGGGATATGTAGAAGGCTGAGGCAGTTGCCACATCTTCTTTGGATATACAAAGTCTACGTCATGAGGTAAGATTAGCCTAGGAGAACGCACCACAGGGAGATATCGATCATCTGATTCGCAGCATGCCACGAAGAGTTACAGAATATAAAACCTTACGTAGAGGCGCAACTGACAACTGGACTATTAAGTATTTACCGGGTGTTGCAATTTCTACGTCACTCAGTCTATTTCACCTCTGTCGACTGTCAACGGTCTAATGCGTTTAACACGGTATGCGTTGCGCTTGAATGTTTATTTACCCTTATTATAACATACTTAGGTATTATGACGGTTTAAAGATAAAGTAGTTCCATTCTTCATTTTAAGGGTGAGGAGAGGCCTAACCTAACGAGCGGCCACTCCACTGGTATGGGGTTGGTGATACAAAAAGAAAGACAGTGTTTATTATTGTTGGTTTTACCTGACGATAATAAGCTAGAAAATGCAGTCTTACCCCCCAAACGGAGTTACCGCCTAGTGCGATCTAGGAACGCTATTTAACTTTGTTTTTTTAAATAAAATTGTAGCTCAAAGGGACTAAATAGCACTAGGCAGACGGGTTATTTTGAGTTACCTACTTTGGGTAAGTCTGCATGTTCTTAACTATTATTGATTCAATTTGGTTGATGTCACTGATTTATCAGTTTATCACTCACTTTTAAATGATCCTGGAATTTAAACGCCGAACCCCAAGATTATATTCTTGGGAAATTTCAATGTTCATAACTCCAGAGTGCTTAAGTTCTCGAACAACACAACCCATGCTTGAAAGATTGCTGAAGACTTTGCCATTTAACACGGCTGAACCTGGTTGATAGAAGAGTCCACACGTATTTCCGATTTCGTCTCTGAACAGGCCAATTTACTCGATTTGTTCCTTACCACTAATCGTGACTAATCACGATCCTTACAAGATCGATGTATTTGCACCATTCACAGGCCGGAGGGCTAGTCCCCCCTCTAATTACAAATAATACATAATAATACTTGAAACTAGGACAAGGACTTATAATACAATAAAAACTCAATGAAACGCAGCTCAATGTGCGCACAGGCACGCCTAGCGCACTGTATGCGCTTTTTAATTATCGGTCGGTTTTGACCAGTCAAACCCTTCCTATTTTTGCTTGCAACTTTTCTCGACGTTTCGGTTGCCCTTATACGTCGATTAAATGACCCTAGGGTCGCTGATGAACACCACGGATGGCGAGCATTGGGTCGCTACACCGGCCTTCCTAAGAATAAGGGGGGATGCTCAGAGTCGGAGTTGAAGAACGTGCAGCGCCCGTTCTGTGGGGAAAAAGCATTGAAAAACCCTACTTTCCATTTATTTTATAGCCCGGGTTTGTATCAAATTGAGTCGTCAGCCCTGCACCCTGAGCAATCCCACGACCTGAGGAGTCTCTGGGTAATGGTTTTGATGCAGGTGAGAAGATTTGTATGGGATGTCAGAGAATGAGGGTTGGTAGGGTTGTGTGCAAGAGTTTAACAGGGCTGGGATATGCATTTTTCAGCTCAACGAAACAATTTTCGCACCGGGGAAAGTCTCCGTCATAGTTCATAGGTGACTGTTATCGTGGGAGCTGCCTCTTTGGTTGTCTTTGAGGTGGTACTGCCTGGACCGCTCTTCGGTCCCAGGCTGAGTGTTGCGGACGCGGGGCAGGGACGAAAACTTGTTTGGAGGCGTTTATCTCCTCAGTCTCCTCCAGCATTTGTTTCCGGTATTTGTGTTCTTTGTTTCACAACCTAGAGCTATGCGCGTTCTTCAGTTTATCAGTCTATTAGTGAATGTATTTCCTACATAGAAGCAGTTCAAGCAGTTGCCATACTCGGAAAGTTATATGTAAAAACACAAAGTGAAATTTTTGCCAGTCATACTTCATCCAGAAGAAAACAGCAAGTATAAGTGAATCTATGGACCAGTACTTACAAATTTTGATACAATTAAGTAAAGAAGGCAAAGACTTTAAGAGTTAGTTATATCTCAAAAACTATCACCACACAAAGACGTATCAAAGTGTTTCCTACGAATCTAAATGTCAAATGTTAAAACCTTGTAGCTGACACACTTTCCAGGATATATTCCTATATTCAACCATCAACATCAGAGAAAAATTTGTATAAATTACACAACACAATGTGTCATCCTGGTGTCATTTGATTCTATCATTGGATTAGATGCAAAAATTTATCTGATTCACCAGAAGACATTAAAAGAGTTATATCCGCATGTCAGGTTTCTGCAGAGATAAAGCCAAGATTCTATAAAAACGAAGGAATTCTCATCGAAGCCATAGCACCATTTGAAAGATTAAATATTGACTTTAAGGGACCATTGCCTTGCAACAATCACTACAAATATTTATTAGACATTGTAGATGAATACGCATCAAGATTTCCGTTTGCATTTCCATATTCAGATATGTCATCTGCAACAGTAAAAAATTATTTGACTCAATTATTCTCAATGTTTGGCAAACCATGTTATATTCACAGCAATAGAGGCGCATCTTTTCTATCTGTTGATGAGAAATCATTTTTAACAAGTCATGGTGTTGCCACAAGTCGCACAACTGGGTACAATCCCGAGGAAAACGGACAATGTGAAACATTTAATGGAACAATTTGGAAGACTATTCAACCTGGGATTGAATCTAAAAACCTCGACGTAAAACGACGTAAAACGACGTAATTCTCTACATTTGTGTACTGCAACTAATTCTACACCTTATGAACGCATGTTCAACCATCCTAGAAGATCGACTAATGTCACCTCAATGCCTACATGGTTGAGCACCCCAGGACCATTTTTCCACAGAAACATGTTAGATATAACAAATATGATCCACTAGTAGAAGTTGATCTCCTATGGAAGCAAATTCAGATTATGATCATGTACGCCTATCAAATGGAAGAGAAATTACTGTATCAACTCGTCATTTAGCTCTTGGTGCTAAATGGAGACGTGACACTGCCAGATCAAGATCTAAATGATGTGAGACTACGAGATCAAAATGCCATAAAACTGCCAGAACAAGATTTTAATGAGTTAACTATTCCTAAAGAAACCCTTTTATTGGTCAGCTCATAACGTTTATCATCTTCGTTCCCTATAATAGTCCGTGCGGTTCACGAAAAAACGTAGCAAATTGGGTTAAAAGCATGAAACTTGACACAGTTGTTTTTTAGACTATTTTAGGAAATTTGACCCGCAGCACCTAAAATTTCACCCCTTAGGAGGGTGGTTTAACCCCTATTTCATTTTTAAAGGGTTAAAATTATTAAAATTGTCTATGTCATCATATTGTTTCAATATTGGTAATAATCTCATCTTCATAGGACCCAACGGTAGGGCTCTATTGCTGTCATATTTGACCACAGATTTGACATAAGTGTCAAAAATATCGTTTTTTTACATTCAGACCTATCTGGAAAAAATCTATGGCGATTTATATAGAATTTGGCATGAGAAATCCGCAGCACCTCAAATTTCACTCCTCAGGAGGGTTGTTCAATCTTCATAGGACCCAACGGTAGGGCTCTATTGCTGTCATATTTGACATAAATATCAACAATATCTTGTTTTACATTCATACCTATCTGGAAAAAATATATGGCAATTTACATAGAATTTGGCTGGTTATACAACTCACTGTACATTATTCCCATATGACACGAGAGGATTAAAAAGTGATAATCCTTCCCATATGACACGAGAGGCTTAATAAGTGATAATCCTTTTGCACGGTAACTGATGTTTTGACATTTTTTGACAAAAAATTTAAATTTTCGATCAATGAAATTATTAATTAATAAAGAATCAAAGTTTAGTTCGTTGTATAACCTTTTGAATACCACTCGATGTTTCAGGATTACCTAATACTTTTACCTGACACTCAACGCGTTACCAGCAACACCTTGCTGCGTAACGCGTTTCGTGACAGGTAAAGTATTATCCGGTAATCCTGAAACCTCTTGTGGTATTACATTCGAAAACATACAAAAAAATATGTTTCGAATCTGTACAGGTCATTGATACAGCTCTACAGCAACGTTGCACAGAAAATAACAACATCTTAAATAAGCTGCCTTCCTGGGCGGATAATTCACTGATATCTTAAGCTACAAGAGAGAAAAAAAAAAGTTTAGGATTAGTCGTTTTGAGCGAATAGTTTACCTCTTATTACTGCATTCCCCTTTACACTTGTTGCAGGGAAGCATACAGGTCAATTCGCTTCTTCTGCAGCAGCAACGCATTGTATCACATGGCGTGTTGCACCCACATGTATCCAGTGATCTGCATGCCTCCTAAACATGTGGTTTTTTCGACTATAATGATACCTACTTGCCTTTATCATCAGCAGAGTCCTCGGCACTGTTTTATATATGATTTGTTAAATGTGACATGAAACCCCATATACAGCTTTACGGACGATAGTAGCTTGATGGCATCTTTCTCTTCTGACAAACCGCTTACTGCAGCCACACACTTTGCCCGAGAACAGATTTACTCTATCAACAATGATCTTGACACTATTACCTGCTATTACCAACCGGGGCCTTAACAACCTAAACTGAATTTTCGCGACAAATATAGTTCATCCAAGGGCTAATCATAGTTCCGTCTTGTGCTTCCGGCGAACTACGTTCATTATGACGTCATGAGTTTCTCGCGAAAGCGTTTTTGTTCATCATGGAAGCATTTCGCCGCGAAAATTCGATGCTAGCCAAATTCAATGCATACAAAACTTAAGCAACATTATTGTCAAATAAGAAATCTTCCGCCGATGACATATCCGTACCATTTTTCCTGCATTAATTTGTATAAAATCGGCTTTATAATTACCAACAGTCGTCTCTTATTAACAACCGTAAAAAACGAACCCTTATGGAAGGCTTTATTTGGCTGCATCATACGTCAATAATCATAATTGAACAAATATCTTATTTCCTTTTATAGGATTCCTGAAGCTACATCATGGTACCAACACCTGACAGTTCACTCTCGGAGGAAAGCTCGCCTTCTAGATGCAGTTTTAGTACAAATAGTAAGTGTTTTTATGTCCTAATCAACTTCCAAAAAAATCACTAGTAGGGGAGAGTCGGTGAATTGTGCGCACCTAAGGAAAAAGAAAGATATTTTCTAAAATATGGCTCATGGAGCTCTGAAATTTGGCATAGATATTCTTCTGTGTTATAGCTGACAGTCCAAATCAACCAAAGATCACAAAGAAAATATTCTGAGCCTAGGGACAAAATTAGATAAAAACTGACACTGCGCACGATTATCCACCCTATGCGGTTAATGGTGCGCACTAGTCAGGGCAATTGTGCGCAACAGAAAACTATTGAAAACTATCGGATATAAAGGGTGGATTAAAAACAAGTGAAACAAAGTACATAATACGTTTATTGCAAACATAATATTAAACTAAATTATTGCATAAAAACCATAACTATATAGTGGTCGCAAAAGTCGCAGATGTAATATTCGGGGGAGTCTACCCCACTGCAAAGCTCATGGGCTCATTTGCCGCAGATCACACACTGAAACCAGTATTCGTCTTTCTTGCTCCAGTCGTCGCAAACCAAACATCTGTCTCCGAGATTGACCTCCGTGTCATGAAGTTCATCATCATCACATAACTGGCTGTCTGAGACTTCTTCTTCAGATTCACTTTCCTCAAAAACCTTCCTTTTAACGGTCTTATTATTTTTAGCGGGATGTTTTGCACTCGCTTTACCTTTTTTTGACGGTTTTTGTTCTAATTTTTTTTCCAAATTTGCTTGCCTATCTTTTTTTTTGGACTCGCAGAGGACGGATAATTGTGCGCGATGCGCACAATTAGCCAACATGGACCTAATTGTAATAAAAATTCACAAAAATAAAATTGTACGTTATTTACCTTGGAAAAATTTCTCCAGTAATAGTAGGAACCCCACTGATTATTTTGGTGAAATTTCCGAAACAGGAATGTTCTTATTTTCAAAGTTATCGCTTGTTTTCACCCGCTTAAATTTTAATATAAACAGTCGGATAAACCGCCAAACACGATCACCGATATGTTTAAGCAGCAAATCGCACGAAAGTCAGCGTTACTTTCAAAGACATCTATGAGACGGCGCCACGTGTACGAATTTGATCAAATAATAGGCGTTTTCGTATGGTATTATGGTGCGCACCATTAGCCGCTGCGCACGTTTACCCGACTTCCCCCTATGTACTAATTGCATTTTCAGTCAACCAAAAATTAGCTCATATAAGCAGTGCGATCCATAAGCATTGGAATGGAGAGAAAAAAATGCACTTGTACACCGTGAAGAAAATAGCAGAAACTCTTAAAAGTATAGAGGATAAAGTTTTTCCCACAGATAAAAGTTTTGTGTCTGCAGCCAAAAATATGTTGTCAAGAATTCGCAAGGAACTTGCTACTGAATCAAGGACTTCTAAAAGTCTGTTAGGTACTTTTGTTTTTGATTAGGAATTTCAATCAACGATGGGCGATTATTTCTTTTTAGCACGAAACTTCATAGGCTGGAGAACCCGGAGCACTGACAAGTTTCTAAAATTTGGTTCATCAAAAAGGAAGGTGAAGAAATCTGAGAGCCTTCTCGGAAGTCTTTGCCGTTCACGAGATTCTAGTTTGCCAAATACTGTTGCATTGGAATTGTTGACTGATGATTATTTTATTACACAGGAACAGGTCCAGGAATCTGGTAAGTAAAACTTTATTGTTTGTTTTTAAAACTGATTTTTTTCAAATAAGTTTATCTACAACCCTTACTATGTGAGTTGTATTTTGCTTCCAACTAGAATTTCACACCCAACGTCAAAGTAAGAACGCAACGTTCAATTAGGGCAGAATAGTCTACCCAAAACCATCCTTTCAAAATTTACTAAATTTAGTGAGAAAGTACACACCGAATATCCAAATAAAACATCAAAGTTCTATTCTAACTCAAGAAGTAAAAGAAAAATCAGCAAGCATTTTTTTTTTTAAATTTTCAATTTTATTTTAGATGTTGCTGCAGCTGCACCCATTTTGATAAAAAACATTCCGGATCAAAAAGAGCAAGTATCAACTAACAATGATACCCAAATAAGCTTAATGGAAATAAGTTCCGAATCAAATCCCTCAGAAAAAATTTCGGATCATACTTACACCTCCAATTCTCAAGAAACACAAACTGCTCAAACAAACATTGAAGCTGATACTGATCCACAACATGAGCTACCACCTGAACCCATGATGACAAAAAGTACATCTAATGAAACCGAGCTAATGTCTTCAACAAATTCAATGCAAATTAGTTCTGGCAGTTTTCCATCAAGTAGGCCAGAGGACATTCAAAATTATATTTTTATCTCCCCTCTTCAAGAAACCCAACCAAATGTTGAATCTGGTACTTATCCGCTATCTTTCAACGAAGCAAATATTTCAAATGAGCAAACACCTTCACAAAACAAAAATGATGACGTGTCTCCAACTTGCACTGATACCCAATTAAATTCAGTGCAAATCGGTTCTAAATCACAAATCTCCAACTTTGAAGAATCACAACCAACTACTAATTCGCATCAAGAACTAAATAATTGTGGAAGTAATTTTAAATCGTCAATAAATATTATTTCTAATGTTAGACTACGAAGTCCTAATGTCTCACCAGACCTAATCAATTTGGATTCCTCCGAAAGTTTTTTTGAAAAATGTCGCACTGATGACACCGCGGAATCTCAACAAAAAGAATCAAGTATTTCTAATGGAAAATATGAAGTAGAATCAGTAGACACTCAAGCTACAAAAGATCCTCAAAGTTTAAGCAGTTCAACTGATCCTGTGAGAATTATTTATGAAGAGCAACAATTAATTTTGTCTGAAGACACTGAGAATCAAACGACCAATTCTTCTCAAATGGAAGCAAATATTGCAATGCCTCAACCTGTTAAAGACAATTCCGACAAGGGTATTTTCCTTCAACCCGATATGGAAAGTTGTTCGAGTCAACAGTCTTCTGAGATCATTCCTGGAACTCTACAAACTTACTATTTCGATCCCAATGTAGCTCCGGCTGAAAATAAAATGACTCAGTATTTTGTGATTAATCATGACACTCAGGGATTTACTGATTTATTGAAAAATAAAACGATTGAGCCAAAGCAAACTAATAATTCAGATGCAGATGAGCCTGTTCAGGAAAAAAAAGATCAGTCTGTTATTTGGTTAGATGTTTCACTAGTAGACGTTAGTGATATGGATTTGACTGATGCTGGAGATAGGTGAGTTGATTTTTTTGCATGTTTATTTTGTAAGTTTACTTATACATAATACATGATTTTTAAGCTGTATCGTTGAAGGTGATCCCTGTAATGATCAAAGCAAGAAGAAAACCAAGTATTTTCCTGTCTCCGAAACTCAAGCCAGTTTAATTTTTGGGCTATCCAAACCCGAAAGTACTAATAATAACGTATTTCCTGGTAAGTTTTTTTGGACTTTTCAAATTATTAGATTATTCTCGTGTGCCTTTCTAGCTCAACAGCTGCCTGTTACACAAACTAATGAAAATTTTGAATCACAGTCAGATACGGAAACTATAGTACCAGAGACAATCTATACTCAAAGCCAAAACTTGGATTCAAAATCCCCAAGAATAAAGAGCCCGTATAAAAATACACAATCTAGTAGTTTTTTGACTTATAAAGCAACAGCAAAGTCTCGGGCAAGTTTGGCAAAGCCAAAAGGAAGTGAACCTCAAGTAAAAAAATTGATTTTTGCGAGTTCTTCATCTTCAACTCCTTCAGGAGATAACGCGAATTCAGGTCAAAAACCTTCAAGGAACATCTTCAATTATTCTGCAAGTGACTCATCTTCTAGTCAAGATCCTCAAAATATCGTGAAAGTAATTTCTCAATCGCCAGAATTACAAAGCCAAAATTTAATGCTAATCAATGGATGTTTTCCTGAAAATTCTAATACTCAAAATTATAATGAAGCGCCTTATGCGGAAAGAGAAGAAAAGCTAGTAGAGAAAGTTATGAGAAGACGAGAACGGCGTACAGCTGACGAATGGAAGGAAATGCCCATGAGTGAAAAAGTGTCTGGAATGTATGCTGACAAGTTTCATGTGAGGATTTTTGACGATCCTGTCGAGTCTTTGACGAATATTCGTTATAAGCCTAGTTTTTCTACTTTTACTTTTCCAAGGTAAGAATAATTGTTGAAGAACATTCTACATCTTTATGTTATAGTTTATCAAATTTTAACATGGTCGCAGAGTGTTAAAAGAGGCGAGAAAAATTAAGAATTAGTGCTGAATTAGTACGAAAAAGTAGTAATTGAACTTTAAAAGATGGATCCAAGCAAAGTTCATATAGGATTCATCCCTTTTTAAAATTTAACCCCTGCAGCCGGATTACAATTTCACTAGTCGATACGAGTCGAGCGTCTCGTATATGCAACATCAATGTTATTTCCAAGTCGCATCCTTCGACTTCGAGTAATTAGAATCCCTATCCTGATTAAAGCTGCCATCCTGAAACGGCAGACGGTCAATTTTAGTATGTCCAGGTAACTTACAATCATGATTTATTAATAAAAATTTTGAAGAATATCGTCTACCGAAAAACTTTCCAGCTCCTATACTATACAAGGAGCAAACAATACGCAACACAATGTCCAGCAAAAATTAAACTATGTTATAACAACATCAATGGCTGTACCAAAAGAAAATATCATGCGAAGCGATCGACTTCTGCGCATATCCTTCTGTTGAGTTGAATGAATACAAGACGACGAAATTACTCTATTTGCCGAAAATCGGAGCCGCGCCGCTCGAAGGTCGGTTCTCACAGAAATCACATACCAGTCACAGCGTTTTTGATTGGTGCAAATTGCCAACAACCAGTTTTCTGAGTATTTTGAACCAATGAAATTCGCTCTGACTCTGACTGGTTTGTAATTTATGTGAGAGAACAGACCTAGTGTACGAAGACGACGACGAAATTACTCTACTCGCCGAAAATCTGCGCCGGGCCGCTAGAGTACGCAGACGAGACTCTCTTGTTGCCCGTCTTTTTCTACTCCATTATGCATGCAATCTGGAATAATAAAAAGAGGCAAACGAACGCAAAGATACCTCAAAACGGAACATAGCAAACAGTGCAACGTGCCATGAAACATTCAGGGTCGGTTTGTCCTTAGCGAGTCACCTCCGGGTTGGCTTCAGCTGCAAGGTAAACGTGTCCAGTTGTAATGTTTACCCTGGAGTTATGCTTAAACCGGGAGTGACTTGCTATTGAGAAACCGGCCCTTAGGAATGATATGGGCGCTTACGGCATCGACATGCATACTTATGATTTACAGAGTTCCAGAGTTGCAAAGTTGCCAACTGCCAAATCAATTGATGAATTAGCTATCTGGCTTTTTTTGCTTTTTCAATCATTCCGAACTTCTCGCGGCCACGCCAATCGGCGCCTGAGGGACCGGCGCACCGGGAAATCTCCCGGCGTCCCGGTGGGCCCATCCGCCCCTGCCAGCACTTCGTCCAAGACGAGAGTGTCGACTGCTTAGTGCTGGTGGAGACCAAATACAGAATCTCAATAAACATAGATCACCGTGACTGGAAGTCAATAAGCAAAGTAGGATACCAAATAATTAACTACCCTAGAGGAGGAAGCCTAGTCCAAGCTCACCCGAAACTTAAGTTGAAAAATGAAAATCCCCCAAGAATATATAACCCCTTGAACGAGTGCATACACTTCACTCTTCCATTCCAACAAGAAAAGCTACACATATTTCTTATTTACATTCATCCTACATCCAAAATAGAAGCAACTATATTCATAAAAGCCTGACTTTATAAATATTCAATAATTGTTGGGAGATTGGAATTTGAACCAAAGGAAGAAAGAATAACTTTAGGACTTCTTACACAATGGCGGCTTTACAAGAGCTCAGACGCCTCCCTTTTCTGATGCAAAACAATGCTGACTCCAATCCCGATGCAATTGTATACTCAAAAAATTTAGAAGGATCTTTTGGGAGGATTGAAGTCATTCCTGACACGGGATCGGACCACATGGGTTTCAAAATAGAAATGGACCTAGAACACATCTCAACAGAGGGTAGAACAGTCAAATATAATTACAAAAAATGCAACATAAAGAAGATCAATACAGACCTAATCAAATACATAAACCAGCAGGAACAGTCGATAATAACCACAGACCAAATCACAGACTTTAGCAACAAAGTATCTGAAATTATTAAACAAAATACTCCGCTTAAGAAAATCAAAAGTTTTCTTATCCTCTCCACCATTCATAGACAGATTAATTAAGGAAAAAAGGAGAATGTTAAGGGAATACTATGCCAGGCCAGATCCAGGAATGAAAACCAAAATTAACAAATTTGGTAGAGATATTCAGGTGTTAATCTTCAAATACAAAACAATTCGTGGCTTGAAACCTGCCAGGAGATAAATGAAGAACAAGGCAAAATTTTTTATTCAAAAATACGTAAATTGACACGCTACAAGGTCTCCGCGGTAGTTCCAGCTTGGAAGAAAATGGCATCACATAATCTACGGATCAAGAAAAAGTAAAAAAATTACACGATTACTATGAGCAACATTTCAATTAGAACGACCATCCTGACTTTGACAAGGACAATAAGGTATTTATCAAAAGATGGTACGAAGAATTTTTCAACGAACAACTCGAAATAAATCAGCCTAATAAAGTACTTGACCCAAATAAATATTATAAAATAATTCATTCACACCAGGATCAGACAGCATTCCGTGGACTGTGCTAAAGCAGTTTGGAGTCGCATTCCACGAGTATATCATGAAAACTCTTGAATACTGTCTTAACAAAAAATGTTTTCCAGAGATATAGAAAAAAGGTATCATAATAAATATACCAAAACCACATAAGGACCATAGAATTCCTAAAAATTATAGACTGATTACATTACTTCCTGTTATAGGAAAAATATATGAAAGAATAATACTACTCAGCCTTGCAAACATAGTGTTGTAACCCCAATATTATAGCACAGCAATAATTGTATTAACATTTGATTATTCTTATATTTCTAATTTGTTTTATTGTAACCAATCTATTTTACAGAGAGGCCGACGATGTCTTTGTCGGCCCAATATTATCATACCGACCTTTTTTTTATTGTCCGGACCCTTAGTTCCTTAGGTTACGTCATGGTCCACACTTGTATAAACTTTCTAAGTAATATGGTAATATAGTACCTAATAAATAGATTTTAGCACATTCATAAACTTTGTAAAAAGGATTAGGTAGTTTTAGGAAATTGTAAAATACCCTTCTTTCGAAAGCTCCAAACTGGTCTTCCTGGGTGGAAGATAGTTAGAGAGAAGGACATTCAGACTTCCATCTTCACGCTGAAAACATCACATTCAGATTTCAAGCTTCGCTCTGAATAGTCGGGTTGCCTCTCAATTTTTGTAACTTGTGTCCCCCTCAACGAGAATTTTAATAAACGAAGCATTTTTATTCAATACCGATCCCTAACAAATAGTGAATGAAAAAATTCCAAAACATCAATTCGGTTTCAAAGCAAAACATTCTACCATCCGCTAACCATATTAATCTCCAACATCGAAACAGCTAAACATTAGAACATGAAGTCAGCAGCTCTTTTCTTGAATATAGAAAAGGCATACGAAAGTGTCTGGCACGCGTATTGGCATTGTCTCCTATGGTACAACGCAACCCTGAAAAAATGTATGCCGAATCACGGGAGAAAATCTCTCTTGATTTGCCAATAAAAGGCTCGTCATTATCTCCTGCGTTAGGATATCACGAGCTAAATAATGAAGCGTCTGAAAGCAGTAGATTTTGACACCAGAAATTTCCCCATAATGAGGAGAAGAATGAGAAGATATCCTGTTTTTTGGCGTCCAAGTGTCGATGTTGCGTCTTGCGTCGTGGCTCAAACACTCACAGAATTTCCTCGGCCGAAGATAAACATCTTTCTCACGCCGCATATGTAGATATAGCATTATGCAATTGCCTATTTGGCCAAGGTGGTCGTTTCTGCAAACAATTATGTGCGATGCAATAGCGTTTTATACTGGTGCTCAACACTTCGCCTTTACTACGCTCCGAAGATAAAATTTTCTTGGCTAAATTGGCAATGGGGGATGAAGCATCTGAGAATTTCTATATGGATATGGATGTACCACCAACAATACAAACAAACAGCATCAGTGGCAATTTCACTCCAAATATCGAAGTATAGGGTGATTCATTAAGAATGGCACTAGGCCATATCTCAAAAACTATTCATCGTAGTCTTGTCAGAAATAAATTATCCCATAAATATGGCCAAGAGAAAATGCTGGAAATATATTTCAGCTTTCTAAAATGACCGTAAGGGGGCGTAACCCAACTGTCAAAGTACAAAAATGGTTTTATTTTTGAAATTTCAAATGAAAACGTATCTTGAAAATGCTACCAATAGATTTTTGATGAAATTTCACACAATTTTGATCCATGACTTTTTACCAGAACTTATCGGATAAGATAGTTATGAGCTGTCAAAAATTGCAACTCAAGAAAGCGAATAACTTCAAAACGACTCAACGAATCTGGTCGATCTCAGGTTTGTTGAAAAGACAAGAGTCTGCTCTTTAATTTTGTTGTGAAAAATTCAAATTCTGGTTAGTAGGACTGACGTTATGGGTCAATATTTGAAAACCATTGAATGTTTCCAATTTTTCTCGAAATTTTGAAATGGAACGGTATATTTAAGATATGTTCAATCGATTTTTTAGGATGTTTTACACGGTTTTTCTTTATCATACCTTCCTACAAACGAATTCCAGATAGTGTTAAAATTAATTTTCTTAAAAATAATCAATATTTATAAAAAAGCCCTCGTAAATTGAACAGATACCAGTTAAATATGTCAGGCTGACACATTTTTAAAACTTCAAGGGTGCGTTCGAAATCACCCTGGGCGTCACACCGAGTGCACACCAGCCATGTATATAATTTATAGCTGGTGTTCACTCGGTACGTGACGCCCCAGGGTGATTTCGAACGCACTCCAAACGCTAAAGTCAAAATGCATTTCCCCATAGATTTAATATCTACTAACGTGACAAGATAGGTAACGGCCTATCTAAAAGCATTGGAGCAAGGTGGCACAAACATGTGTTAAGA